TCGCGGCCCTTTGAGCCCGCAGGACTCCAGAGCGGCCCCGCGTTCGCTTTTCTGTCCGGAGTTTTGCTTTAGCGGCCCCGGGGCGCAGAGCCAGTCGCGCACAGGGAGGTGAAGCCGCCACTGCTGCCCGAGCCCGTCCCGGCCAGGGTGTGGCCACAGGAGCGGCCTCCGCCCCGCCGCGCCCGCGCCGGCTCTGGGATGCACAAAGAAATAGCAATGCCGCTTTCAGCGCTTGCCGTGCACAGAAGGGCTTCCGGTCACGCAGGACGCCGCGGGGCTCCCGGCCGGGCGTTTCAGGAACCATCACGGGACGTCACAGCCACGGGCAGGGGCGCGAAGTCGGGAAAGGGGCAGTAGAGCCGGCTGCAGGGGACGGCAGAACGGCCAGAGGCCAGCAGAATGGCATCGGGAAGGGCCCGGGGAGGGGGAGGCGGGCCTGGGCTCCAGAGCAGCAGAAGGGGTGGACAGTCCCCACCCCAACACCTCTCTGGCCCCAGCGATGACAGGCAGGGCCCTGCATCCAGACAGGAGGGTTCTGAGCACAGGCTGGCCGTCTGGGCTCCGCTGTGTGGGGTCTGGAGGGCCAGCACCTGCTCTGGCTCTGTGGTACTCTGCAGTGACCTCAGAGGCCGGAGACTCGTCAGCCCTGAGGGGCTACGGGTTTTCACCTTGAATACCATCCAGGAATGACCTTGGACCCCAACCTTGTGTGGAGGGGAAGGGGGCACCCAAGTGCCTCCCCCCAGCACTTCCCTGTGGTGGAGTTGGCTCCTCCTGCCCAGGCTTCCCTCCCACCAAGCAGCTTCCTGCGCCCAATGCAAGGCCTAGAGACAGAGGGTGGCCACCGCCCTCTGGCACCCCAAGCCCTCCGGGCAGGCCTCAGTGACTCCTGGCCACCTGCAGTCCTCCCTGGGTCGTGTGCAGTAACATTCCAGGGCCAGATCCCGCAAAATGCAGCAATTGTGTGTCCAACTGGAGGGCACAGCCCAGAGGGAGCCTGGCGCCCATTACCAGAGATCCCTCAGGACAGTCAGGCAACATTCTCATTGTTCAGGAATTTCTTGCTTTTTATTATCAAATATCTACTAAAGAAACACTTGATAAAGTGTCGGGAAGGAAACAGCACTGGAGAGGCTGGGGCCGAACTTGGGCTGGAAGGCGCAGGCCTGACTGCCCAGCAAAGCCTCCCCTGGGCCCTGGCCCCACATGGCACCTCCTGACCCTCTGGTAGGACTGGGCTGTTACCGAACCTGCCTCCTGGAGTTAAGGGACAGAGCAAGGTCACATCTGAAGAGCATTTGAAGCACCCAGCCCTTAGAACACCAGTTATCTGGGCTAATTTCTCCACTGGCCTTGCCAGGCCCCATCCATTACAGTCAACTATCTAGCGTCTACACCTGCATGGCTGCGTCCGCACACATACACAGTACCTACAGCAGTGACCACAGTGACCACGGGAGGAAGCACACATCCAGCATCCACCAATGCAGTCATGACTGCGGAGGTCAGGGCACCAATAAGCCCGGCGGCCCTTTGGGGTCCTCCTCTAAGCAGTAACAGTAACGTCCCAGCATGCGTGACCTCACTGACTAATCCTTTCTGAGGTGATTCTTGATCAGCAGGAACTTTTTTCCTGAAATTGGGCATTAATGCCCCATCCTGTCCCTGCAAGGGCCCAGATCTGTCCCTCTGTAATAGCCAAGTCGGTCGTTTCATTGTTATGTACAGACATCACTGTCAGGTTCCCGACCCCATACTCCGGCTTAATACAGATCTGCAGTCCCGTTAAAATATCCCCAGCATAGGACGTTTCTGTCAACAGAGTGCTCTGGTCCGAAGTTGCGATCTCTTGCTAAGCGATTTTCATTACACTCACATTCCTCAAGGAGGGTTTCTGGGAGATCATGAAGGGAGCTTGGCATTTTGTCCACTATAGCTACGATATTAAATAAGGGCTTGACTTCTAAAAGCTTTTCTCTATTCATTTGTGGGTGTCTTCTAAGGCGATACTTTCTAAGGGTAAGAAGGGAGGTCTTCCTGTACTCTCACTAAAACCTTCCCCTCTGGATTATACTTACAGGACCCCCCCCCATATTTATCAAACTACAATCAAAGAAAAACCTCCCATCAATTCAGTTCGCAGAGCTTGTCCTCACTATGGTTCCTCTGGTGTTGAAGCAGGGCCGAGTGGCCGCTGAAGGCTTTGCCGCAGTTGCTGCAGATGAAGCGCTTCTCTCCGCTGTGCATTCTCTGGTGAATGATGAGAGAGGAATTCTTACAGAAGGCTTTCTCACAATGACTGCATTTGTAGGGTTTCTCTCCAGTATGGTTCCTCAAATGTACTATAAGGGAGGAGCTCTCATTAAAGGCCTTCCCGCACTCGTTACATCTATATGGTTTTTCTCCAGTATGAGTTCTCCGGTGTGCAATGAGGTGAGAGCTACAATTAAAGGACCTTTCGCACTGATTACACTTATAGGGTTTCTCACCAGTGTGGATTCTCCGATGAGCAACGAGGTGACAACTCTGGCTGAAGGATTTCCCACACTTATTGCATTCGTAAGGTTTTTCTCCAGTATGAGTCCTTTGATGTCTCACAAGGTGAGCCATCTGGCTGCAGGATTTCCCACATTTATTACATTCATAGGGCTTAATTCCAGAGTGAATTATTTCATGTTTCGTGAGGGCTGACCGTTCCCTGAACGCTTTGCCACATTCCTGGCAGTTGTAGGGTTTCTCTCCGGTGTGAGTTCTCTGGTGGGCAATGAGGTGGGAGCTCCAGCTGAAAGACTTCCCACACTCAGTACACTTATATGGTTTTGCTCCAGAGTGCGTGCGTTCGTGTTTGCTGAGGGCCGAGTAGTCCCTGAATGCCTTTTCACATTCGTCACATTTAAAGGGTTTCTCCCCAGTATGCATCCTCATGTGAGCAATGAGATGGGAGCTCCAGCTGAAGGACTTGCCACATTCGGTACATTCAAAAGGTTTCTCGCCAGTGTGAGTTCTCTGGTGCCCAATGAGGTGGGAGTTCCAGTTGAAAGATTTTCCACATTCGTTACACACGTAAGGTTTCTCTCCTGTATGAATTCTCTTATGTACAATAAGATGAGAATTCCAGCTGAAGGCTTTTCCGCACTTATTACATTCGTACGGCTTGATGCCAGTGTGAGTCCGTTCATGTTTAGTAAGGGCCGAACGGTTCCTGAAAACTTTCCCACACTTATCACACGTGTAGGGCTTCTCTCCGGCAAGGGTTTTCTTGTGCTGGATGAGGTAGGAGCTCCAGATGAAAGAGGTCCCACATTCATCATACGCATAGGGCTTCTCTGTGCTGTAAGTGCTGGTGTGCTGGGCCAGGAAGGAGTCATAGCCAAAGACCTTCTCCCACTCGTCGTACTGATACGCTTTCTCTACAGTACCAATTTTTTGATGTTCCATAAAAGATGAGAAATAAAAGATGTTCCCATATTCTTTGTAATCATACCGGTCTTCTCCAAGATGACGTCTCGGGTGGTCACCAAATGAGGGGCTCTGGTTGAAGATCTGGTGGCATTCCTTGTATTCGTAGAGTTTTTCTCCAGTGTGCATTCCCTCATGATTACCGAAACGCAGTATATGATTGAAGGATTTAACAGCATCAGGACATCTGAAGAGGTTATCTCCAGCCTGCACTCTCGCCGGGAGCGTGGGCGACAGGGTCTGGTAAAGGGCAGGGTCGCCACCATCGCTTTGACAGGTGAGACTGTCTGTGTACATTATGGCTGAATCGCATCTCCAGCTGTCACCATTTAGCTCAGGCTTACAGAAATGTTCTACCTGAGAAACTCTCTGCAAAGGAATGGAGTTCACAGTCTGACTACGTTCTGCTCCGAGTTCATAGATGCCAGGGCCTGTCTGAGACAGCACATGCTTCTGCATGAACACCATCTGCCTCCAGGCTGTAGCCTGGTTCATGTGGTACAAGCCTAACTGATCTTTACATCCCAAAACTTCCAGCCTAGAGAACCAAGGGTCACCCCAGAGGCATCTTTCCAGCTGCATGCTGTGCGGCTGCTCTTCTTCCAGAATGTTCTGAGCCGGGACCAGTGCTTTGCTTTCAAGATTGTTCGTCCACTCTGAAAGAGAAAAAGGCCATTAGAATGCAGGAGACACCAAGGGAGGGGTGGCATTTATTGCCCATGTTATGAAAAAGGCAGGCGTGGCCTGTGCTCAAGTTAACTCATAATCCAGAGAAAGACCCTACCGGGCAAAAGGGAAGCGGCTCCCCAGAACACAAACTACACTCCCGAGCAGTGACAGCAGTAGTTTACTGCGAGGCTCACAGCCAGGTGTCGTGAAAGTAAATGCTGCCAACCTCACACCCCCAGGACGAGTGGCCTCTCACACGTCAACGTTTGTTCTTAGAGCTCCAGTGGCTGCTCTGTCTCTTGCTGCATCAACTGCTTTTTCACGAACCCCCAGTTGACTGGGTTCACCGGAAGGCCATAGAGCCCCAATCCCACGCTTAGCACTGGCTCCACCATTACCCCAAGACACCGTTTCTCATGGTCAAGACGGACCCGTGGCTGAGTCACGGCCTGTGCTCACCATGGAGGGGTGCACTCCACTGGGGGTGCTTTCCGAGGCCGCTGTAAACAGCCCCCGAGTGGCCCTAAGTGGCACAAAGCCACATCCCACAACCTGGAAGCAGAAGCACAGGATGGCCTTCGCAAAGCCCACGTCCAGGTCGCGTCCCGGGGCGCAGGCACCACCAGCCCAGCTGCCCGGCCAGTGGGCATGGCCGTTCATCTGCCCATCAGTCCCTCCTGCGAGTGGCTCTCCCACGAGAACTTGAGCTCACAGTGGGTCCGGCCAGGAAGCCCAAGGCGATCACTCCGGGAGACCCTGAATGTCCACCATCGCGCAGCCTTTTGCTGGATGAGGCACCACAGTCATCAGCGAACCGGAACGGGGCAGGGCCGTGAGCTGGGGAAGGAGGCGCGGCCTCCCGGCGAGCGAGTGCCCACAGGCGCACAGGAGACTGCACGCTCTGCTGTGTCTTTACTGATGCACACGGAGCTGGGTGCAGGCCAGAGGCAGGGGTGAGAGGACGCCCCAGAGACTGAGCGGGGCACAGCACAGGCGGGGCCCCTGAGATCTACTACTGAAGGGGCAGCGGGGGACAGGAGGGGTCTGCTGCAGCCTGTGGTCACTCCCTGGCTAGGGTGGACGCTGGCCCGTGCGGGGAATGGCTTGCTAGGGTTGCGGCCCACAGAGCTCTCTGCGGGCTCCTCACCCTTACCCCGCTGAGTGCCCGAGCCCAGCACCAGCTCTGGCGCTCACTGCCGCCTCCCAGCTCAGCCCAGAGCCGCCCGCGCCCGCACGGCCTCCAGGGGCGGCTGGGCAGTGTCACCAAACGAGCAGCTCCTGCCGCTGCACCGGCTCTGCGCCTCTGGCCAAGCGGGCTGCGGAGGGCAGGAGGGCAGAGGCGCGTCTCCCGGCTCAGCCTGTGTGGGGAGCGCTGCCCAGGCGCATGCGGCCCGTGGGGAGAGCGGCGGGGGGACAGGGTGGGCAGGAGGCCTGTGCTGGCTGAGGGACGGGCCGACGTGGAGGCAGCTTGGCCCCGCAGGCCTCACGCCAGCGACCCACAAACGCTTCAGGTGCCAGAATTGAAAACGTGTCCACCCAGAAAAACAGAAACGGAGGTGTCTCCAGGCCCACGAGGCCCGAGTTTGCCATGGGCACCACCGAGGGGCCGCCCAGGCCACAAACCCGGGATGCCGGAGGCTGGATGGCCCGCTGCCCCAACCCGCTGTCTGACAGCAAAGCCTGTACGGGACTGTGCAGGACAGGGCATGGCGGGGACACGGGCGGGCAGAGGCCGCTTCTCGCCCTTCGCAACCCGGCTGGTGCCGCCGACAGCTGTGATCCAGGAGGAAACCATGGGGCTCGGCAGCAGAAGGCGGTGGGCTCGGCCACCTGCAGGCCGGCAGCCTGGGACAGCACCACGGAGATGCCCAGTCTAGGGACTGGCCGGCCGGCTGGGCACCCGGCGCCCGCGGCTGCTCCCCTCCAGAGAGTCGGTCTCCAGGCCGAGGGGCAGCAGTAAGGACCAGGTGGCACTGAGTCCCAGGGAGCACAGGCCGGACCCCGGGAAGGACAGCTGGGCCCCAGCCAGGCCGCTCTCACCTGGGTGTGTGCCAGGAGGACGCGCCCGCTGCGTTGGCCACGGCTCCTCTCCTCGCTCCAGCAGGGCGATGACCTCGGGCTTGGCGACCTCGTGCCCTGCGCAGGAGGGAACAAGCCCCATGGCCACCCGCCCACAGGCCCGGAGGCTGACCCAGAGCTGCCGGGCCCCTCCGGCGTCCCACCGCGCCGCGCGGCCCTCACCCAGGGACAGCAGGTGCCCGAAGGTCTCCAGCGTCACATCGCGGTACAGGGCGCGCTGCGCCGGGTCCAGCCGCCCCCACTCCTCCAGCGTGAAGTCCACGGCCACGTCCCGGAAGGTCACTGGCGCCTGGAAGAGCGCACGAGCCCCTCAGTCCTGCACCCAACGCCTGAGCCACGCTGGCAGACGCCGGCAGGGCCACCACGGAGGCCCCGCACTGGGACAGCGAGTCCACAAACAGGTGGCCCCAGAGAGCTGAGGGTGGGGAGGGGGCGCCGGAGTCCAGGGAGAGGCCCTGGGACGAGGCAGGCGCCCCGGGGTGGCACAGGCCGGTCCTGACTGCTGCCGGGACCCTGCTGCCGTCCCAGACGCTGAAGGGCCTCAGCCGCCAGCCAGCAGGCCAGCGTGGGCCCCAGACCCGCCTGCATCCCACTGGGCAGGCGGGCGGGAGGGCAGCGCCTGCGCAGCCCAGCAAGGCCGCTGCCCCGCCCTCCTGGACTGACTCCTCCTGGGACTTGTGTGGCCCCTGGACCTGCCTGGGCAGCTCTCGGGCATCGGGGTCGCGCCCTGCGCTGGGCAGGCAGAGGGGCCTCGCAGTGGCGCCCTGCACGACTCCGCCACAGTAGCAGGCCGGCGCTCGGGCTGGGCCTGGCGCCCCATGCCCGGTGCAGGCAGTGAGGGCGCTGGCCCCGGGGCCCGGCCCCCAGGTAGCTGGGGTGGGGGCGCTGGGCAGGGGCGGCGCCATCTCAGTCCGGGCTCCGCAGACCGCGCCAGGCTGGCCGCGCCCCCTGCCGGCAGCTGCTGGTTCAGGACTCGGCCGCGAGCACCCGGAGGGGAGGCCCGAGCGCGCGGGCACCGCTGTCCACAGCGGCCGGCTCAGCCAGGCGGGCTGGGTCACGGGGCCGCATGACCGCGCTGGGCTGCAGCTGGGCGGTGACTGGGTGCGCAAGGAGGGGCCGGGGGCGCCCCCAAGCCAGGCCCCAGCGTCTGCCGGAGCTGCCCCCGGTCCGCCCTGCGGCTCCTGACCCTGCCGAAGCCCCGCAGCTCCCATCCCGACTGCGGGTCCGCCCTGGCCTGGGCCTGGGCAGGAGCATGGGCGCCCCCCACCCCGGGGCGCCTCACGCCCACCCCCGGGTCTGCGGCTGTGGTCAGGGCCCCACTGCATTGGTCCAGCCCCTCCGTGGCCAGTGCAGGCGGGCGTCCTGCACCCCGCCGTGCCCAGCGCCCCAGTGGTCTCGAGGCCACGTGCCTGCAAAGCGGCCACTATCCCCCCAGGCAGTCCTGGGCAGCGCCAGGCAGGCCCGTGGCTGGGCGCCACGGACACCCCGCCGGGACCCAGAGCCCCGCGTCCCGCAGAGGGCCACGCCGGGCTGGCCCTCGCCCCCAGCTGAGCCTGCACAGCAGGACCCGGACACGGGACGGTGACCCGCCTCGGCCCAGCTCGGGAGGCGTTGGCGCGTGTCCAGCCGGGCCGCCCGCCCACGCCCCCCAGGACACCGCAGGGCACAGGCCAGCCCCGGGGGAGGGTGAAGCCGGCTCACCTGCGCCTGCGCCGCGGGGTCCCGGCCCGCGTCCTCGGGGTGACCCTCCTCGGCCCAGCTCGGGAGGCGTTGGCGCGTGTCCAGCCGGGCCGCCCGCCCACGCCCCCCAGGACACCGCAGGGGACAGGCCAGCCCCGGGGGAGGGTGAAGCCGGCTCACCTGCGCCTGCGCCGCGGGGTCCCGGCCCGCGTCCTCGGGGCTCCCCTCCTCAAGGCCCCCCTCCAGGGACTGCGCAGGGGCCGGGGGACACGGAGCTGCGGAAGGAGGCGAGTCAGGACGGAGCGCTGCCCCCGCGCCCCAGCCCGGCTTTCCCCGCTGGACAGGACCCCGCGCTGCCCCCCAGACCCTCCATCAGGGACGGCGGGCGCGGCACAGGGCCCCGCGGGCGCTCTGGGAGAGGGGCCCGGGCCCCTGTCCAGCACCGTCCAGGGAAGTTGCCCTCACCCCTGTGGGGGCCGGAGCCATCGGCCCCGAATGGCCCGGACGCGCACACGGAGCTGGGTGCAGGCCAGAGGCAGGGGT